TCTGCATCTGTCTGTGATAAGATGTGTCTAATTTTAGTAATATTACGTAAATGAAAGAAGGCAGTCCTAGAACCAGCTGTATGTTGGCTCTGTTTTGTCTACTATAACAGCCTGTATGCATGTGCATATGCCTGTTTTGTGTGTGTCAAGCTAGTACAAATGTGTGTGTGTGTGTGTGAGTGATTGTGTATTTATAAAGAATATCTAGATCTAAAACAGCTATGTAAGCCACTGACCTCCTCTCTCATTAGAGGTAAAAGTCAATGGTCTCCCTAGACTGGGGATCGATGAGGCACATGAAGGACATCCAACTCAGGTTAACCACAGACAGAATCCTAATTCTGCCAGCAGGGAAGGTAGATGTACAACACAGACAGAGCATTGTGACAGGTCATGAAGATAAAAGGGAAATTAATCGAATAAATGGATAGTTGGAGGGATTTTCTTTTTTTTTTTTTTTTACAGATTGATGGTTGAATGAATGGACAGATGGACAGATTTGATGACTTTTCTGTGATCACTTAAATGAACAAACACTCTGGGAATAAAAGAAAATGTGCATTGTCTTTAGGACTGATGTTCATGTTTTAAAGTGCAGTTTGGTTGGAAACATGATGTAAAAATGTAAAACAACAGTAAAAACATTTTTCTGTGATATTTCTGTAAAACCAGCGGAAGCAGCCTGAATTGGAAACAAAGTGCAGTTTGAGGGTGTCAATAGATATTATTCTTACTTGAGAAGGTAAGCACTAAGGAGCCAAAAAGACATTTGACTGTCTGATGACATCTAAACGCCTCACTGCTAATCAACAATAATGATACTTTAATAAGTAACATAACCTTGATTAAAATGGTGAAGTAGTTCACAAACAAAAGGAAAATAAGCAAATAATGATCCCAAGCCATCTGGTTCCTCTTCAAGATGACAAAAATGTTTCTAAGTAATCCATTCATCATGTGTGATGTATGTATACGCGCTCAGCCTCTATAGGAATAAACATCCCTCTGTAAATTGGAACTATACGTATTCTTGCCTGCAGCTTCTTTGACCACCTAGTTAACCACAGAACCTTAAGGCTGTCAAACAGTGCCTATTGTCAGGAACCCCTGAGGCTGTGTGGCCAAATGCTATATTCCTGCAATATGACATAATGTACATGGATGGATAGGTCTTTGCTTAATGCAGTCCGAGTAGGCGCTGACCGCATGTAGCTCTCAACTGAGCGTGCATAAAAGCTTCAAGAAATGTTTGCAAAGAAATAACGTCAAAGCTAAAAGGAAAAAAAAAAGATTATTCTGTAGTTTTCGTTGCTCTTTCAGCCTGTGCAACCTGATGCAACAACAAGGCTATAAGTCAAATCATGACTTCAAATGTACATAATGTTGTTATATTACATTATTTCTTAGTCTGGCATTGAGATCTTGCATTAAAAAACCTTGGATTCTACATATTTTTAACAGTATATGATAATTAATTTCACTCTGCATGGCTCTCTTTCTGCCTCACTTACTTGGCTTTCTTCATTTTGTCATTGGTGTGTGTGTTTGTGTTGGTGTGTGAGGACATCAGCAGGTGTTGAGTGAGTGAGAGGAAATCTTGGTGACTCATGTCCCATGGTGCAAGAACCTGTCACTGCCACCATTGTCATTGTCAATCTGTTTCCACCTTGCCCCACTCTCACATGTCCACAGTACTCTTTCTCCATTGTGTGTGTATGTGTGTGTGTGTGAGAGAGAGAGAGGATGGGTTGTATAAAAATGACCACTTCCCAGTCTCCCAGGGCTATCACTTGTCTAGCTGCATGCATATCCAATCATTAAAGTATGCACATTGAAAAAAGTTTATTATTCCAAAGAATTTTGTTTCAAAATCTTAAAATAATTTGTCTTAATGGTAATGAAAAAAAATTGACCACGCCCACAAGACCTACACATGGGAGCACTGGAAACACAGTGAAAGGGAAAACACTGGGAAATTTCAGGGGGCGGCCTCTGCCCTGACACCGACTCTGCTCAGGACTACTCCTTAGGTTTGTTGGAGGTTGTCCTGTCTTGCAGAAAGAGCTTGTTTTGGAAAGGAAAGTTAGATGGACTTATTATTAAAGTAACCAACCACTACTGCTTATTGTAGCTGCCATTAGCTAGTTATCTCAGTTGTCTGGGTTGAGCCAGCTAAGCCAGCTGCACGGATAACTGAGCTTACTAGCTAACAGCGGCTACAGTTAGCAGCATTTAGCGGTTACTTCATCAACAAGTAAATAAGATATCTGACCCAGTTTCACCAAAATCAACAAGTAAAGATTTAGAGGATTTAGAGTCACTTATTACTGTTTTTGTACAGAAAAGTAAATTTTTGTACTACTTTTCAAGATAACTTGCTTATAATGCTCCATCATCATGTTGAGCACAACAGTAAGAGGATGAAGTGCTGGCCCTTGGTTGGCTTCCTGAACTTGACCAATCAGAAGAAAATTGGCTTTTAGGGAGAGGAGCCATAAAGAGACAGGAGATAAAAAAGCTTTTTTCAGATTGAAGTTGAACTGAGGGGCTTCAGAAAGGGCCAGTATAAGATAAATAGGATGTTTTTGAATTGTGAATGATGCAAAGGTACTCTAGAATCCCAGAATGAAAAGCTGGAGGTGAACATAATAGGTCCCCTTTAATTGTTTTGTATTGTCTGTATATTTCTCCATTTCTACACATACACAACTTTTTCAGTATGTACTCTCCAATATATACACACACAGTCCAGGACATGTCCTGCTGTGATGTATGTAAGTACTGATTGCGGGGAAGCGCACACCTTTAGATAAACTGAGGGCAAAAGCTTGAATAATTTATTGCAGAGCTCCGCCTTGGCCAACCCACACATCTCTTCCCCAGCACCCGGAGCCACAGCTGATAGCAACACCCACACACAGAGAAGAGAAATAAATTACAACACTTAACCCCCCGGAAAAAGGGAAATCATTCAATTTGAGCAAAGGCAGGACACAAATAAAACGGGTTCATCCACAGACGCACGCCATGTTCTTTTGTCAGGGCTGAATGAGGCTCCAGGATGTTTCAGACACACCAATGTTATCTCTCTCACTGAGGATTGCATTGTGTGTGTGTTGATTTGTGTGTGCATGTATAGGTGTATTGTGTGTGCCATTGTACTGAATATGTATATAGAATTCAGTGTGTGGGGTTAAGCTCTAAGTTAGTGTGAACTGTGAAGTTGAAAAGTACTTTTCTTTTATTCACACTGTACTGTTGGTCACACATTAATCACCTACAGCAACCTGGGGAGGATATGATTAACTTTCAAACGTGATCGTACTTATAGCAATAATATAAATGGGTGAATGGATGAAAGACTGCTGATTAGCTGCATCCTAATTTTTAATTGTATGTGATTTTCACAATGTTCAATGAGTTTCTTTCCCCTGAGCCCTACCTAAAACTACCTAATCTTTAGACAATGTTAGATGTTTAGACAACTTTAAGTTGTTTACTTTTATTAGCTTTTGTTGGTTTTAATTCACGCTTCCTAAATGTTTGAGTCATGATTTTGTGTGTGACTGTCCTGTGGAGGTTTTTATTCAGTTATATCCTTAGGGGCTGTCAACAAGTGAGAAATCCACTGTGAGTAAACATGTCTTCTGAGTGGAACAACTAAGAGATAATATAAAATCCACTGTCTGGCTGATGTAAATAGATAAAGAGAAACTGGTTATGTAACCATAAATGGGGGCATGTAAATCCAGATGAATTTTAACTAAGACACTCAATTAAATAACATTAGTGTCTCTGTTAGAGGAAAAAAGGATCATCCAAAACAAATATAGCACAACAACAAATGTTCAAGTTTTCAGCTTCTCAAGTTTCATGCACTGGTCTAAGCTGAGCTATAACATTTGTATTCTCTTCAGCTGCCACATGTTGTAATAAAAAGCTGAATGAAGAGCAAATAAAAAAAAGAGTTTTGGCCAGATACTGTACAAGGAAAAAAGAAAAAAAACTCAGAAAAACCCCCCCCCTAAATCTTCTAAAACTTATTCTTCGCCCCTGGCACTTTATTTAAGAGTTCACACTCTAAACAACGCCAGCGGAGCTGCTCTTTAATACTTAATTAGAGTTCAACTGGAGTGCCACAGCTGAAGTGGCTGAAGTGGATGTAAGGTCGGGTAGTCGAGGCATTTTCTTTACTGTAAGTATCTGTCCCCAAAGGTAGTTCTTGCTACTCCAAGACTAGAGAATACAAATTCTTCTTTGTTCAATGGTTTCATTGACTTTGATGGTGTATTGAGAGTCTGGCTAATGAAGCCAAAACCATCTCAAGCTTTAAATATTTGAAACCTATACAAAACCAGTCCAGGACTGCCTTTAAATCATCCCAACAGGTTGTGAGTTGCAGAGCCTTGAACTAGGCATCTCTGGTGTTTTTCTCACGTCACTGATTTGGTTCCTGTTACTGCATATTTGGCATAGCAATTGAAGGGAATATTTAATTTCACTGCACCCCGGATTTCACCTGGGTTTTAACTACATGTATGTGGGGCAAAGGACTGTTGTCACTGACAACAGTGACAATATGGCCTGACCTAATGGGCTGACTTTTTTTTTTAAAGTTGTTTTGACAAAAACAAATGACCTTAAAACAGCTATATCTGATATTTTGTAATAACAATGTATGAAAGGACAATGATGAAAGATGCCGCTCATAGTGATGAACCTACAGAAAATTATCATCTGAATCTGCAGCTCTTTCCTCGGTTTTACAGAGCTTTATGGCGACAAAGCTAAAAGAGAGTGTTATTGGACTCATCAGGGGGACACAAACATGACTCCAAAATAAATAATAATGTTTCTCTGTAACTGCTGGATGTGTAAATGAGACTGCTTACTAACATGTTCTCAATATCAATGTAAAAGTGATGGTGTCTCAATGCTGTGTGCAGTTTCTTTTCTGTTGCCTCCAAATGGCCAAAAAATGTTTTTGTGTAAACATACAAATCTGGCACTGCTCTTCAAATAAATGTCCCAGCCCTTTGACTAAATACTTTTCTTGTCTCTTAATTTGTCTTGTTGATAGGAGCAAACAAACAAAGATGACAAAATGACACTCCTGTGATTTCTTCCATCACAGTTTACCTTCATTCACAATGAGTCCTTGTCTCTCTGCGATATTACAAAAACCCATTTTGAAGTAATTGCCAGCTTTGGTGCCCAAGCATGATGTCAAAAACAATTAAAAAGGCAATAAAGAGATTTCAGCAAGCCAGAGCTTTAGCTCACAGCAAGATGATGAAATGTCCACACACATTACTCTCTGTTACTCTCCCCCAGTGCGGATGAGCGGTTCGACGCCACTTTCCACACCAACGTACTGGTGAATGCATCAGGTCACTGCCAGTACATCCCCCCTGGCATCTTGAAGAGCACCTGCTACATTGACGTGCGTTGGTTCCCCTTCGACGTGCAAAAGTGTGACTTGAAGTTTGGCTCCTGGACGCACAACGGCTGGCTGCTGGACCTCCAGATGCTGGATGTGGACACGTCCACCTACATACCCAACGGGGAGTGGGACCTTGTGGGTAAGAGAGACGCAGTGTTTTTCACAGCAGTTACAGCCATCTATACTGATGTTGTAATTATTTAATTCAATAAAGATATGTAACATAAAACCTATTTCTCTAGTCCTCAGTCCTGAGATGAAAACAAACTATTCTTTTAGATCATAAAAATATGCTACAACAATTGCTGCTGCATTGAGTTTGATTGAGTTTCTTACTTCTTGTATAAATGATTTCACATTGGGACATCATTTGGATGGTTGTAGCTGGATGAACTAGAAAGCGGAAATTTTTTGGAAGACCTCCCAAGCGGGATGTTTCCAGCTGGGACAGAGTAGCAGCAGATCTCAGTGCGTGTGCCCCTGGGGTGATGTTTAGCTGGAAATGGGTGTCAGACAGCACCAGATGGCATGTAATAGGAATGTTTGACACATTGGCAGGTCTGTAGCCAGGCCATATGTGAGAGCAGCGCATCTCATCCCTAGAGTTAGAGTTCAAGGTGAGAAAGTATAACTTAAAATTGTAATAATAATCCAACCTGGTATATGGAGAGAACCAATTATAGTTGTTAATTACAGTCATTGGTCTGATGGTTTTCTGCACATTCATTCTAAACTCTATTTAAATCTTCGACTTGAATAACTTTGTTAGTCCACAAAAATCTAACTGACCTGCATGCGTATGTGCTCCTCTCTTAGGTGTGCCAGCCAAGCGCAATGAGCTGTACTACGACTGCTGTAAGGAGCCCTACCCTGATGTGACATTCACAGTCACCATGCGCCGCAGGACGTTATATTATGGCCTCAATCTGCTCATCCCCTGTGTGCTCATCTCTGGTTTGGCCCTGCTCGTCTTCTTGCTACCTGCAGACTCTGGAGAAAAGATTTCTCTGGGTAAGGGGTCGTAAACACACAAACACACACATTCTGGACAAGAAAAGTCAAGCTTATACAAATACAGTCACAACTGTACATAAACACATTAAAGCACACTCACATATTTGTACATGCACATTTATCTACAAACCTCATGAATCATATAAGTGAGCCATGAATACATGCATGTCAAATCACCTTGGAATATTTGAATTTCAAAATAAGAGTCTAAAGAGTAACTTAATCTACTTGGGACTTCTATCAGTGGAAGTGAGTTTTGATGAATAGCTGTCTGTGGATGAGCAATCACCAGTTACAAAGTCACAGTGTTTGAGGGATTTCTTGAGCTGTAACCTACCTTGGACATGTCAGAGCAGCCAGCAGCTGATAAATGGTTGTAGTCATGAGAACATAACTGATTATATACATAAGTAATTACAGGACTGATTTCATACACCAGTGACCCTGATCACATCATTATGTATATGCTCATGAACTCTCTCTTTCTCCTGATCTCTCTCTCAAGGTATCACTGTGCTCCTTTCGCTAACTGTCTTCATGCTACTGGTAGCAGAGATCATGCCCGCCACGTCCGACTCTGTTCCTCTCATCGGTGAGTTATATTTATGTGTGTCTGCATGTATTTAATCGTGTGTTGTGCATGAATTGTGGACGAATGTAGAATCACCAGGAGGAAGGGGCATTGGCACGCCTGGGAAGGGAAGTCATCGTTGCAGACAGAACATTTTCCAAGACATATAAGTTAATTGAACCGATGTTAAGCTTACCAGAGCTATACCTGATACTGTACTGTACTGTACTCTTCTGAAAAATGCTTCACTAAACAGATATTTAGAAACAGTCAAATTAAAATGACGGATCGATTCAGTAAATCAACACACACGTTACTGACCACTCTACAGTAACAACTTAACTGCCCCTCTGAGCATTTCTTGCACTTCCAGTAAACACCACTAATATAAAACATGCATTACTTATTGAGCAGTTTCATTGTAGGCAATTGCCTGACCTCTCTATATATACTGCATACCATTTCCTGAAAAAATAATAAATAAAAACCCATGTTGGTGTGTGCGGCTGGGCTTTGGTTTGAGTAGCCTGAGGGCATCCATACATCATTCACGCTGCCCCTGGATGGTGTGCAGAGTAAATTTGGTGGCCAGAACTAAAGCTGTCAGCACCATTAATAGGCTGTGAAATGTCTGATTCTCCACGGGGGGAGGCAAGAAAGGAGAGGATAGAAGAAGAAATAATGGATGAAGGGAGGCAGAGGCCAAGGGCTAAAGTTCTCAGAGAGAAAGACTTCAAAGCCTTTTTAAAGCAGACGTGTTAGCAGGGTTAACGGTCATATTAGCTTCACATTGTCAAAATATGTTATATGATAACTGTCCTCGCTGATAAAAGCTTGATAAATGCTTCATCAGTGGAGTGATTAATCTGTTTTTTATTTCCCATGACCTCAACACAAGGCCAACTGGGACACTTTTAGTAGCCTTGTTAAAATGACTCATGTCGCTTTACAACACAGTGGCTGAATGTGGATATGAGTTGTTGTAGCAGCTGGAACTCAATTGTACATTTGTAAAACAAGTGCTGCTAGAATCAGGCATATGTCTTTTATCATCAGCCCTTAATCACCAGATAAGCATATTGTGTTCATTTCATTTGAGTTAATTTAGTCAGACCTCTCTTATCTTGTTCAAGATACCATTTCGCTCAGTTCATTTTAATTTTAATTCATTTTTTAAATTAGTTAGTTCAGCCATGAACAACAATGTCGTTCGTAGCTGAAGGTCCCACAATTATGTTTTGAATTATTATATCACATCTGTAGCAGTCTTCTTCTGACTCTCCATAAAGATAACCAAAGTGAGCAGTGATTGGACATAATAATAATAATAATAC